GGGATGTGATTTTGAGCAGTTTCATTGTTGGAGTCCCATAGACTGTGCTCTGAGGTAAGGGGAGCAGTATCCTAAGTTGTACACATCTTTTTCTTCCTCTCTTCCCAACAAAGACATCGATGCCAGGCCATGGGACTTCCAAGCAGAAGAATGCACCTTGCGAGCCAACATTGAGGCTTTTAACAGCCGCCGGTATGACAGACCCCAGGACTCTGAATTTTCACCTGTGGATAACTGCTTGCAGAGTGTGCTGGGGCAGAGGTTGGATCTGCCTGAAGATTTCCACTATTCATATGAGCTCTGGCTGGAGAGAGAGGTGTTTTCACAGCCCATCTGTTGGGAGGAGCTGCTCCAGAATCACTGACTGAGCTCTTCTCAACAAAGCATCAATAGATGGAGGTTGGCTCCAATAAATGGTGCTCTGCCTACCCTGCCCTTTCAGCCTTCATTTCCAATTCTAGGAGTACTTGTCAAGGGGAGATCTGGCCCAGCCCTAGGACATCCAGTATAGTTCAGGGCTATTCCAGAGGTTGTTGGGCCTAGAGATGGTGCGAGGCTGGAATCCTGAGTCACAACAAAATGATTACATTTTTTTGACCCCAGTATTCTCTGAGGTGAGTTGGATGCCCAGTTGGCCTTCAAAATCTTTTAGTGGCTCAGTCCTGGACAGGCTCTTTGGTGGTACCTCTCCCTCCCTGCTTTAGTCTTGGCTAGAACCAGCCTAGCCTTAGCTGGCCCCAAGAGTGAGAGGAAGTTTTTTATGGCGTTTAACACATAGCATTCATCACAACCTGGGGTGCAGGTTGTAAAATAGGGAGAAAGTTTTTCTTCTTGTTCACCTTGGATTCCTAGGACTTACCAGAGGTTTGGCAAAACCAACTTTGAAATTAAGTCTATATTTTAAATTTTGACACTCACCTCTTTCTAAGATCATTAGCTCTAAGATGATTTTAGAGCACCTACACCTTCTTTGTGAAGGATGATGATTTAGTATTCCCTAAATAGTGCATGTTATAGAAAAATGTGTCATGTAGTGTTTTTTTCTTTATTCCCTAAGAGATCTGTGTTCAATGTGAAAATTATTTCCTTGTGTACTCTGTATAGGGCATACTCTGCTATTTTTAAAGAGCTACAACCAATGTGAAATAATCAGGCCTTCTTTAAGGATGTCCCATGTTTTTCTGAAACTACTTCAATCTTAAGATGGCTGAGTATACTGCAGAAAATTATCCTTTTCATGCAATTCATTTTTTAAATGACATGTTAGCTACAGGAGATTTTATTTATTGAGATGGAATGTCCATTTGTGCTCATGATTGATTTATTTTTTTTAATTGAAAAGAACAGCAAGAGTATCACAGCTTACCATTTTTCTTTTTCTCCAATGTTAATGATTTTTTCTTTTATTGCTAGCAGTTTCAAAGTGTCATGTAGAGATTTAGCAATACTGTTTCTATCTAAAAATATTGCACATTTCATTGAAAATATAAGGATTGATGTACTAACCTCTTTACACTTCTCTCTTTTACAGCAGAATCACATACCACCCAAAAGAAACAAGGTTTTTAGAAAAGTTTCTGATTTAGTCAGGATTATTTTATTTCTCTTCTGTCCCCAGAATTATGTCATCTATATCTTCAAGCTTTTTTACTTTAAATGGTGGCCCCCAACATAGACTCTACTGAATCTTTTTATGATGGCACCATGTCACTTCATGCTGGGAGATCTAGTCAAAATTTGCTTATTTACTCTGTCTTTTGTCAACCACAGTCTCACTTGGAGGTCATGATAGAGTACTTGATAATATCTGAAGGAACTATACCAAAATCCAGTAAGTAAACTTTGGATTTTATCTCTTTGTGCTTTAGGGTAGCAGGATTTCTGTTTTTATGGAAAGGTCATGGAGAATGTAAGTATGTAATGGATGAAACTTCTTAAAATGATTTGTAAATTTTATCTAAGTAGGATGGCAGTCCTATTGTAATCAAAATAATTTACTGAGCATGTCTTCTATGAATTTTATTAATCTAGGGTCAGGCTAATATAATTTTAGTGTGATTTGAATGAAAAGACAATTTTCAAGGAAAGAGAAATCATCAATTTTCTTTAAAACCATATAGAATTCAAATTATATCAAGAACAAATAAGTTACCCTTTTTAAAGTATGCACATGAGTGCTTTTTGAGAAGTGTGCTAAGCTTTAAAATTTCATACTTTATTATTCACAACTCTTCTCTACAGAAAGATTAGTTCTCTGTGCAGATAGAGAAACTGCAGCACCAAGGATGAGTGATTAGTTTGGTTTTCTCCATGGACTTGCTGAGACTAGCTGTCATGTATTGACAGCCAGGCCTCCATGCTAAGGTAACCAGGTTGAATCTCCCAATTTGAAAGCCCATGTGTGTGGTTAGGAATAAACTCAGATTAACCAATTTCCAATGGTGATTACTGTTACTACATAGAAAAACATTATTTGAGTGATTTATAAAGTAGAGGATTTTTGTGAATGTTTCAATAAAGTTTGTGTTGATTATTGATAACACTATTTATCTACTGAAGCACTTTAATAAAGAAAAATAAGCTGGAATTAGAAATTTGGCCTTTAAATTCCTCAACACAAGAAAAACGTAGTCATATTAGTTATAGAAAAGAAGAGTATAATAAAGAAGGTGAATATACAAAATCTTGCATTACTCTACCCCAAGGGAATGCTCAAACAAACAACTCTAAATCTTAGTGACTTACAACAAATGTTTATTTCTTATTCATAGGTATGGGGGTCAGCTGCAGTTCTGCTCGGCTCAGCTTGTCTTGCTTGATTGGCTTTACTCCATAAGTCGTCGTCTTCTGGCACTAGGCTGACAGAATAGCCCCTACCTGGGACATAACTGCTTTCATAGAGAAGGCCAGGAGCAAAAGACAAACTATGCCCTGCAAGCATATTTAAAGCTCCTGCATAGATATGGCATAAGTCAAATTGTTCATATTCTATTGGCCAAAAGCAACTTGCATGGACAAGCCTAACATTGAGCCAGAGAAGAAGCATACTCTACGTACAGGGTGGCAAGTATGGGGTGGTATAATACTTTTGCAGTAGAGAAAGTGAGTCAATAATGAATATCTGCTCCTATCCTATACACAAAATACACACAGCCCCTCCTCAAGGAAGACTCCAAAAATCTTATCCAGTCATGTGAGACCTAAAATCCAGGATCTAATCTAGACGAAGGTCTAGATGAAGTATGTCTTGATCCCGAGACTTGCAAACTTAAACAACAACAAAATGTGTTATGTCAACCTAAAATGAGCAACAGAGACTGACTCTCCAAAGAGTTTATTTGGGAATAACAGGGGATTACAGTACGGTGTGCAAGCTATGGTGGATCATAGGTGCATCTAAAGGGGTTGGGGGACCGGGCGCGGTGGCTCACGCCTGTAATCCTAGCACTCTGGGAGGCCGAGGCGGGCGGATTGTTTGAGCTCA